AAAAAAAAAAAAAAAAAAAATGCAAACTGAAATGTTTATTAAATTATATGATATAAAATTCAAATAAAGCCATGAGGTTCAGAAACTCATTTAACCTTTACAATAAATATGACTAGCTAATGTCATTATTCTAATTTCATGAATTAGAAAACTGAGGCCCAGCTTCAGTGATCTGGTCTCTCAGCTGGTAGTGAAGTATCATTATAGACCTGTGTCTATAATCTGCCACATCTGTGTGATTTTTTTACAAATGTCTTCTTTTTCTTTTGTTATTTAGTTTTTAGTTTATGGAAGTTATTTCTCAGTCATTGCTGGAATTTTCCTAATGAGAAGCTTTTACACAATCTACTCAGCCAAATGCGGAAAGAAAAAATGTAATCCGACAACTGGCCAGAATCCAAGTGAATCGGGGGACGCAGTTCCTGATGTGAGCACAGTAACGCAGCTGTAGCCTGGTCCCAACTACCATGGACAGAAGACAAGTTAGTGTGATTGTAAATACATGGTACTAAGCGACATGGCGTTTTAACATTTCATCCTAGATTAACCTATTGCAAAACATTAGACCATCAGTGAACTGAATACAACCAAATGATATAATTGACCAGATTGAAACAAACCATCTTCATGGCCTCAGTGAGCAACTGGAACCCAAAATACTGTTTTGATACATTCAAGCCCACCCCCAAACAACAGAGAAATAAAAGTTACTATCCGCAGCAACATGAAATAGCCTATGCCCTTCCTCATAAAAGCGTGATTTGTTTTGATTTGAATAATAAAGAAGCATATATGGCAGCTCTGACACATGGTAAGGGGGCAATATGTGACAACCATGATTATTACAGTCATATTATACACCAAGATACAAAGTTAGAATGTGCAGAATACTCAATTCCTGTAATCCAGGGCAAAAGAAATAATGAAAAATTTGAACTAAACTTTACCATGACCTTGCATGGAAAGACAAGATATTATAGATTTCAAGTCTTGGATTTATGTCAAAGTTATTGCTGTTTGTGCTGGTCAATTTTAATTGTCAACTTGAGTAGGCTATATCTTTTTGTTGATTTAATTGAGCACTGACCCAGGTGTTGCTGTGAAGTATTTTATGGATGTGATGAAAGTCAATTTTAAATAGGGAGATAATTCTACATAATCTGGGTGGGCCTAGTTCCACCAGGTGAAGGGTTTCAAGAGCAGAGGATAGATTCTGTGAACAGGAGAAGGAGAAATTCCATCTGTAAACAGAAGCATCAGCCCTTGCCTGGGACTTGCACACATACCCCCCATTCTGATGGACTATCCTATTAATTTTGCACTAATTTGTAAGCTCCCATAATCCTATCAGCCAGTATCTTGAAATTAATCACAATATACATCTTCTGCTGCTTCTGTTTCTCAGGTTTGAACACTTGCTGATACACATCTATACAAGTAATATCTTCTTTCCACTTAGTATGTGGTACTGCTTTGTTGAATGATCCATTGGGATTGGAGAGCTCAAGTGACCTTCAAGGGTAAATGTGGGCCCCATTAGGACTCAAGTAAATTCTTAGCTGTGAGGAGCCACATCCCCCCAGGCAGCAGTGATGTTCTGTGCCATAAGCAGCTAAAACATGTTGAGTTATGGAACTCATTCACTGGTGGGAAGCTCCCCAAACAGCCTTAAAGCAGATAAGCACCACGGGTCACATGTTTGTCCTCAAACCTCCCATTATCACCAGTTTAATTTTTCCCCTAAAGAAACCTAGAAATAGGCTCGGCACCTATAGCTCAACCGGCTAAGGCGCCAGCCACGTACACCTAAGGTGGCGGGTTCGAATCCCCAGCCCGGACCCGC